GATATCTTATTTCCGTTTACCTTTTAATTGCCCATTGCTATAAAAACAAAATGGGTTATTATGACACCCTGCAAGCATATTTGAAACCACAGCATAGTTGCAATTACTATTGTGATGGGTTTCCTTATAAAGAGGCGGTCTGTAATCAGGTTTTCGTTACTTCTTAAAAAAACAAACAAACATATAAATACATTGACCCAGCCACCGCGGATTAATGTTTCGTCCATTGCATTTTTTCTGTGAATTTTGTTACATACAGAATGCTCCACATGTGCTCAACCGGCAAGGAGTCTATCAGTAGTGACCGATCCTGATTTCCCCATTTCTTGAATTGGCGGGAAAATGTGTTTTTTTTTTCTTTTTTAATTCAATTAATATTAATACTGTTATTGTTATTGATGCTATCATTATCATATTGTCATTAAAATCTTGGTAACATTTAAGACAAATACATAATACAAAAGACCCTTTCCAAAAGTCAAAGCAAAGGATAAACAGGTGAGATAGGTAGGACTAATAACTGACTCCTTGGTGATTAAGAACTCGTAGAGCCATCTATGTGTAAAATACAATGAATAAACTTATATTACAATGGGCACTTTTACCCATTAGGATAAGGCATACTGAAATAATTAATGATTCACTCCACTCTTTATTAATCAAAACACTCAAAAAGAACCAAACATTGTAGATAATGCGGTCAATCTGAGATAGATTTTGCATAATGAATAAAAATTTATATAAACACATATCTCTTGGTGCTTGTACAGAGCAGTTATTGATGGCTGTGGAATGACCACAAATCTTGCTCATTTTGACCAACAACAGTGTCAACTATTTGTTAATTGTCGCACAGAAAATGACTATTATATTAATATGAAATTGCATAATTGGTAAAGGAAGTCTACTGCCATAGTAATCAATAGTGTATTTCATCTTCAAAATTGCGTCAATTGTCATTTTCTAGTGCTATTTCATATGTGTGTTTGTGTATTATATATATATATATATATATATATATATATATATATATATATATATATATATATATATATATATATATTTACATGTGTGTGCGTTTATTTGTACAAATTATATATATATATATATATATATATATATATATATATATATATATATATATATATATATAGAGAGAGAGAGAGAGAGAGAGAGAGAGAGAGAGAGAGAGACGAAATTTACATAGGCATATATATATATATATATATATATATATATATATATATATATATATATATACATATATATATATATATATACATATATATATATATATATATATATATATATATATATATATATACATATATAAATACATATATATATATATATATATATATATATATATATATATATATATATATATGTGTGTGTGTGTGTGTGTGTGTGTGTGTGTGTGTGTGTGTGTGTGTGTGTGTATGTGTGTGTGTGTATATATGTATGTATGCATATATGTATATATATATATATATATATGTATGCACATATATATATATATATATATATATATATATATATATATATATATATATATGTATATATATATAATTATTACGGTTGTCCTCTCAACTCTACTTTCCCTGTATCATTTATATGCATAAAATGTATTAATATTTTCGTTAGTGCATTACAGATCCTAAAATTATTTTCCTGGAATATTATCTTTATACTTATAAAACTGATATATGACTAATTTGTATCTACTATATCATATCTTTATAAGTTTTATAGAAAGCTTTTTCTTATTTTGTACAGTTGTGAGAATCATGGAGATGCTATTATGAGCTAAAGTGAGAAATGAAATAATATGTCGATGATATGTCGAAGAAAGTAAAATTTGTGTGGAGTGTTCAGGCTGATGAAACCTTTGGGAAACTGAAGCAGATATTTACCACTGCACCCATTCTTTCTACCCCTAATTTTGACGTGCCATTCAAATTGTATGTGGATGTTAGCTAGTACTCTTGGAATTGGTCTTAATGCAAGAGAAAGATGATGCTGATTCCCCTGTGTGTTATTTTTCAAAAGAACTATAATACCATTGAGAAAGAATCATTGGTACTGATTTTGAATTTGAACCATTTCATTGTTTGAGAGGGATGAGTAGAGTAACCCAAGTGTATACAGAGCATAACCCCATTGTATTTTTGTACAAGGTGAGAAATGTAAACCAACGTGTGACTCGGTGGAGTCTTTTGCTACAGGAATATAATCTCATCACCGGACATATAAATTGGAAAGAAAATGTAGCTGACACATTGCTCCGTCTACCTGCGAGTCTTGTGGGAAGGGAGATGCTACGGTTATCCTCTCAACTCTACTTTTCCTGTGCCATTTCTCATGTATTTTCATGCATGTTAGTGTATTACTGAATCTAAAATTCTTTTCCTGGGATGATATTTTTTAACGTATAAAATTTTGGTTAGTGCATTACAGAATCTAAAATTATTTTCTTGGAACGATATTTCTATAAAACTGA